CAGCGGTGGGGGTGGGGGCATGGAGGAGGGGACATCTTGCCTCCTCAAGGGATTAGGGCCAAGCATGCGAGAGGCCTAGAGGTGGAAAATTTAAGGAGGCACTCATTCCCGAGGCAGCCCTAGTTCTCCAAGCTTCTATCAAATCTCAGCTGAAAGAATTTCTTCCGAGCCTCCAAGAGTGGAGATTTGCTTAAGATCTGCTCCTTAAAGCAGGTGAAACTGGTTTTCATTTTAAGTCAGAGATGTTTAAATGCCCTTTTAAAATATATTTATTCTAAATTTTAAAGAGAGATTATTTGTTTAAATTAACAAAAAAATTATTTCTGTTGGTGTTTTGGCATAAAACTACCAAGTGGACTTGAGTGACTCAGGTCTGGGGAAGGCTACCACGATCCTCGGGCGCCCCCTGCAGGCAATGAGTAAATTACCACGTGATCACAGAGGTTGGCTTCTCTTTGCCCCTCACTCCTCTAGGCTCCCCGTGGAAGGCTCATCCCATCAAGACTTCCCTTTGAAGTCTTAGAACCGGGAGCCTGGCACGGATGTTGCAGGTTTTGGAGGGCACTCATGCACGTACGGCTATGAAATGAGCTCATTATCGCTTTGTGACAGAATCTAAATTAAGCTGGGATGTGTCTGGACAATTTTGTAGCTTACATGTCAATTCAAATAGAGGTTTTTGTCTTTTGTTTTTCCTCCTTCAACATACTTGCCGTTTCTATCCTTGTATCTTTCTCATGGAGTTTTCATACTGGTAGTTACATAGTCTTTTATTATTATTTTATGTGTTCTTGTTATAGATATTAAAACCACATGAACAGCACCTTCTAACATACTGTATAACATACTTATATATTTTGAGTATGGTCTGTCTCCCATCACTAGAATATAAGCTGCATATCACAGGGCATTTTGTCTATTTTTTTCAGTGCTGTAGCCCCACCGCCTAGCACCTGCCCTTATTGATCAGTTCCAGAGGCTTCGTTGGTTGCCCCAGCCAGACACAGGACCCTCAGCGTGGTCTCAGGGCTGCAGCCCCAGGTGCTCTGATCTGTGGCGATGTACGTGTGCCAACTGTAAGCTCCCTGCTGCAAAGCACCTTGTTTGATCCAGCTTTCTTTTTGCAATAGCATCTAGCGTGGGACAGGTCTCAAAGGCACGCACAAACCCCCTCATTTAGATCTGTTAGAACAGAAGCCTGGGGGTAGCCAAGTTCATATACCTGGAAGGCCTGACAGGGAAGCACACAGATGAGGCAGGTAGGGACCTGTGGGGACCCTGGAGAGGGCCTGTGAGCTAAATCGGCCACGTCCAATCAGCACCAGCAGCTGCTGGCACACAGGAATGGGGGCTGAAGCTCACCGGGACGCTGCTTTTACAAGCTCGAGCAAAATAAAACTATTTATTATTATTATTTTTTTAAAAACTTTTTATTTTATATTGGAGTATAGTTGATTAACAGTGTTGTGACAGTTTCAGGTGTACAGCAGAGTGATTCATTTATACATGTACATGTATCTTTTTCAAATTCTTTTCCCATTTAGGTTGTTATATAATATTGAGCAGAGTTCCCTGTGCTATACAACAGGTCCTTGTTGGTTATTCGTTTTAAACATAGCAGTGTGGTGCTTCCCTGGTGGCGCAGTGGTTAAGAATCCACCTGCCAATGCAGGGGACATGGGTTCGAGCCCTGGTCCGGGAAGATCCCACATGCCGTGGAGCACCTAAGCCTGTGCGCCACAACTACTGAGTTCGCGTGCTGCAATTACCACGCCCCTAGAGCCCGTGCTCCATAACAAGAGAAGCCACTACAGTGAGAAGCACGCGCACCACAACGAAGAGTAGCCCCCGATCGCCGCAACCAGAGAAAAGCCCGTGCGCAGTACCAAAAGACGCAATGCAGCCAAAACTAAATAAATTAATTAATTAAATACAAAAATATATATATAGCAGTGTGTACATGTCAGTCTCAAACTCGCCATCTATCCCTTCCACCCCACCCTTTTCCCCTGGTAACCATAAGTTCGTTCTCTAAGTCTGTGAGTCTGCTTCTATAAAAACTCTAACATTGTTGAGTGAAATCTCCTAAGTTTCAAATGTTGGTTCAATTTAAAAAAATACTGTATGCGTCAAAAAAAAAAAAAAAAAAAAAAGCAACTGAAAACAACCCATATCTTGCATCCAGTCACTGGGTGGCCACTTTTCAACCTGGTATAAGGGAGTGTGTTCATTCATCCTTTGGGGATAGTATTTTCAAGTGCTTATTGGGCTTTACCTTCCTGACCTTCAGTCTCCTATTGTTTTCATTTGTACCCCAGGCTTCTTTCTTTTGTTAGTCCAAACAAGTACGGACACGCTCAAGCTGGATTAAAAAAACAGAAGCAAATGTTGGAAATACTCAATATTATGGAATGCGAGGATGCATAGCAGAAGACTTGAAAGTCCCCACTTGTACTTGCAGCACTGGTTTCCCTGCAGGAAAGGAGATTAGCTCAAAGGATGCTGTGGGCTGGGAAGCCACGGGGGTAGGGATGGCGGGAAATGAAGTGAGAAAGAAGACTTTGGAACCAGAGGGAGCCAATTCAGCACTAAGGTTGGGGGTGGTTCTGCCCACTGTCCGTCTGTCCAGGTTAAATGACACTCTCCTTGTCTGCCCAGCCCTTTGAACAGCCCCATCTGATGACTGAACTCCCAAGGAGAGGACACTGCTGGCTGCTCATCCAACAACCCTTACTTCCTTCTTCCCCTTCCTTGTTTCCAGAAACCCAGCCTAGTTTTCTTTTTCAGCAGCCATATGTCCAGCCTTGAGGAATTAGCCATCATTGTTCAAGGTAATCATTAATCCTATAGCTTTTACCAGTGATTGAGGCGGGTGTAGGACAGACATAAAGGCAAGGGGGCTAGGAGATTCTGGGAAATACATTTCTCCTTGAGAGCAAGAGAAAGCAAGAGTGAGAGAGCACAGGACAGCGAGTCAGAGGAAGCATAAGCAGAGAGGTGCGTGCTGACCCCTTTTCTCTCTGCCTGTGCACCTCTTGGATAAAGACGTGACTCTTGCGGATGCAATAGCCATCTTGTGATGATAAAGGGAAGGCCAAGGACGACAGCATATCCAGGTGGGAGCCGTAACTTCCGCTTTGGTCTGAATGCTTGTGTCTCTCCGCACCCCCCAGATTCATACCTTGAAATCCTAATGCCCAATGTGATGTATTAGGAGGTGGGCCCTTTGGGAGGTGTGGAGTTCAGGAGGGTGGAGCTTTCGCGAGAGGGATTTAGTGCTCTTACAAAAGAGACACCAGAGAGCCCCCTCGCCCCTTCCTCTGTGTGAGGACCCAGCCAGAAGGTGCTGGCTGTGAACCAGCCCACACGTGACCATGCTGTTGCCCAGATCTCAGACTTCCAGCTTCCAGAACTGTGAGAGATAGATGTCTATTGTTTATAAGCCACCCGGTCTGTGGTATTTTATTAAAGAAGTCTGAACACAGGAAGACAATGTCTTTGAGCTGCTAATCCAGCCCAGGAAGCTCCTTCCTCCATGAGAGACCTCTCCTCTCCTTTCTTCCTCCCATTCTCTGTTCACTCAGCGGCCACCTCCAAAGAGCCCCTCGGGACCACCCCTTCTGTTCTTTGTCTCGGCACCTCACTTGTTTCCCCCCGTCAGGTGCTTGGCACCATCTGTAATGATTTTGCCCTTTTGTGTTCTATCTCCCCCTCCACTGTCTGTTTCTGCAGCGCTTTTAAATTTAGCTAGTTAGTGACCTTTTAAATGAATGAGTGTCATTGTTGGAGATTCCACTCTAGGCCAGATCCTGTGAAAAGATCCAACCCTGAAAAAAAAACATCGTCGTTCAACAAATATATATTGAGCGCACATGAGCTGAGCACAGGGAAGACCTAATGCAAAGGGCTTGGATTCTGGAGCTGGGACCCTGACGGAGCAGGCCATGCCACGTGGGGCTAAGGGCTGTGGCAGAGAAGGCAGGGTGTGCTTGCTATAAGGCCCCCTTATCCTCACTTCCCGAAGAGGAAATTGGGACCTCGAGAAAGGAGGCTTGTCCAGAGCAATTCTCAAACCCCTGGGGTCCCTGAGATCTATTCAGGGGATCCCCGAGGGCCTCCCTTTTCCAACGACATATCTACATGAGATCAGATTTTCTTCATATATAGCAATTAAACAACGTATTGCAAGAGGTTGAACGCAGAAGCAGGTATGAGAATCCAAACTTCCATTAAGCCAGACATTACAGAGATTTGCAAGAATGTAAAACTGCCATTCTTCTCAATATTTTTTTTGGTCTTGGAAAATATGGTTATCTTTAATTTTAAAATGTTGCTTACGGTAACATGAAATGGATTTTTAAATTATTTTAAATTAATAGATACACTCAAAAATTCTGCTTCTAATATGATAAATGTTGAAGAATATAGGACGGAAATTCTTCAGGGTCCTCAAAATTTTTTAAGAGTGTAAAGGGATCCTGAGACCAAAAAAAATTAAGAATCGGGAGGCACATGTGTCAGAGTATACAGTAATTGCTGAATAATATTGTTGAAAAAAGTTAACTACTAGGAGTACTTCCTCCTTTTTATCATCTGAATTATCAGGGCATATACATCTCTCACGCTATTGCCAAGGTCATTCGTTCTTAGCTCTTTTTTTAGGGAGGTGTATTTCTTCCACGGTTCGTGGGATGGGTGGAAAGGAACGGCCCTTCCGCTCGCTCGCGGCCCCGCCGAGCTGAGCGCCCCCTGCTGCCCGCTGCTGGAGCTGCGGCCGCTCGCCACACCCACCCCAGTTTCTGTCGGCCCACAGGGAGTCGCCTGTCCCTTTAATTGGCACGTACCAAGTCTTTCCAGGTTACATGTCCTCCCCGAGTCCCAGACCTTAGGAATCACTGACCGAAGATCCAGTCGGAGGGAAAGTAGAGACCACTTTGTGTTTTGCGGGAGTCCTGCGTCGTCGGGGAGCGAGGGAGGGCGCGGGGCCGAGGCACACCTTAGCGGCCCTCCCCGCCTCGGGCCGTAGTCCAGTCCCAAGATGGCGGCCACCATGAAGAAGGCGGTGAGTGGGGCGCCCGGGGTGAGGGATGCTCGGCCGGCGGGCGGGGGTCGGCCGCAAGGGGCCGGCCGCGGGGTGCTGGGGGCGCGCAGCCCTGAAGCCCAGCGCGGGGCTCGGGGCCGAGACTCCCGACCCTGAGGGCGGCCCCGGGGTGAGGCCTGCCCGCGCCCGGCGTGTTGGGGTCTGGGACCCTTAGAGGACTCTGGGTCGCCTCTGGCGGTGCTGAGGATGATCCTGGAGAGTCTGAGGATCCCGCTACCCAGACCTTGTCCTTGGGGTGTGGGAAGCCTAAGGGTCCGGTTGACTGCGGCTGGCCATATCGCAGGTACTTTACCTGGGTCGTCATGTTTAAACCCTTACAAGTTCACAGGGGTGGGCGCTCTGGTACCCTTCTTTGCAGGCAAGGAAGCTGAGGTCCAGAGAGGTGGAGTCACCTGCCCAAGGTCACGCAGCCGTAAGGAGCTAAGCAGGAACCCGCAATCCCCGGATTATCTGGCCCCTGAGCCACTCAACTCTACACTCGGTGCCTCTGCGCCCTCCAGGCTAAAACCATTTGTTATTGAGGATAGACGATGGGCCGGGGCCCAGAAGCCGTCCGTTTGTTATTATCACGGATCCTTCCAGCAATTTAGCAAGGGCACGTTTTCCCCCCACTTTACAGACGGAGAAACTTAGAGCGGTGAGCGGCTTCAAAGTGACTCAGCTAGTAAGCAGAGGTGGAGTGCAATCTCAGGTGTTGTTTTGTTTTTCCCAAAGCGCACCTTTTATCCTACTAAGCAAGCAGAACGCGTCTTCAGGGCTTATAATTTGTTAAGTCTACCCAGATGCTTAAAGAAATCTAGATAGAAAGAAAATGGAGAGGGGCAAGGAAATAATATCTGATATTTATTGAGGCTTTACTGTGTGCTGGGCACCGGTTTAAGCACATTGTATACATTGTTTATTTTAATCTTACACTCCTTTAAGGGTGATGCTATGTTTAACCTTATTTTACAGATGAGGAAACTGAAGCACAGAGGCAAAATTAGGATTTAGATAAATAAACATAGATGTTCTGCCTCCAGAGCCTGTGTTTTTAACTTCCATGCTGTCTGATGAGAGTCCCCTGGCTGAAGGGATTTGCTCTGTAGGTCTTGTGTGTGTTCCCTTTCATTTCCACTTCTAAGACCACATGGGAATGTGCTTCCATTGCTTTCCTGCTCAAGGGCACCTCATAGTCTAAGCCCTCCTGCACTTGCTGTAGGGTGACCAATCCATCCAGGTTTGCCTGAGATGGAGGGAGTGCTAAAACTGGGAAAGCCCCAGGCAAATTGGGGTGAGTTGCTCATCCTACTGGTCTGTCATCCAAGAATTCTTATCAGGTACCAGAGTAGGGTTTAGGGCCATGATGATTCAGACAGAAGCTATGTGAGATTCACTTGGCCTCTGTTTTGTTTTTATATTGGGCTCTCTGTCAGGTATGGCCTTTAACTCCATGGAAGATACTAGTTGTGGTTCACCCTCATTTGACAGATGTAGAAACTAAAGTACAGAGAGATGAAGTAAACGTTGAGGAAATGGTGGGAGAATGGTTTGAACCCTGGGCTTGATCGCAAAATTTTATTTTTTTATTATTATTATTATTTTTTGATTGCAAAATTCTTGATCAACATTTTTTTTCCTTTCATTCATTTAACAAACTTTTTGAGCATGGTCTACGGCACAGTTTCAGTTTTAGGTGATCGACATAAGAATGTTGAACAATAATGAAGTTTTTATCCCCTTGTCCTTACAGCATTGTAGAACTTACACTCTTGGGGAGAGGCAGGCGTTAATCAATAGTCACACAGAAAACTGTAAAATTTGCAACTCCGATAAGAACTATGGAAGAAAGGGGCTTGTGAAATGAGGGCTGGAATAAGGTCTGCTTTGAGGTCAGAGAAGGCTTTTCTGAGAAGGTGTGATCTGTAGGATTCCATGAGGAGCAGAAGAGAAAGTTGGAGTACCTCCTGCAAAGGCCCTTGCATGCATTCAATAAAAGGATGGCCAGGATGACAGAGAACCGGGGCAGGGGACAGGCTGAACCATGCTGGTAAAATAACTTATAGAGGGGTAGGTGGCGGCCAAAACATAAGATTTTCTTCTTTATCTTAATAAGACTCTCATAGATGCAACATCTTCCTGTAGGTGTTTCCAGTGCTGTGGACAATTTCTGATAGGTTAGCGACATGTGCCTCTTTTCTCTGCCGACTGTAAGAGAAAACAGGCATGCTGACGTGTGAGAGTGAAATATCACAGGATAGCCCTTGGAGTTTAAGAAAAATTGTTTGCAGTCTGGAGTGCTTTATAACCCATTACCTCCCAGTGGGTCATGACTTTTTCTGGTGAGAAGTTAAGATGAGATGATTCAGTCATGTCATCTCCAGAGTTCTGCTTTCTCAGACCTGGTTCTTGGCCATGAAAGGTACTGCAGTCCGATTTCTGTTTATCATCCTGAGTACAAATAACTCGTCCTTAGAGAAGCCACCTTTGACCTTCCCTTCAGTCCCCAGCTCCTCAACACTTCCACCGCCTAAACTACTTTGCTTTCACTGTCACATGTGTCACCATCTAGCAGAAACGCTTAGTTTTTGCACACTTCTTCCACTAGAATATAAGCGTGCCAGTATTCTTGAGGTGAGGACTCATGAATACCCTCCTTTCACAGTACCTCGTACATACGAAACACTTAAGTAATTTTTTTTTTTTTGCGGTACGCGGGCCTCTCACTGTTGTGGCCTCTCCTGTTACGGAGCACAGGCTCCGGATGCGCAGGCTTAGCGGCCATGGCTCATGGGCCCAGCCACCCCGTGGCATGTGGGATCCTTCCAGACCAGGGCACGAACCCGTGTCCCCTGCATCGGCAGGCAGACTCTCAACCAGGGAAGCCCCCTAAGTAATTATTAAGTGAATGACTGTTCACAGGGAAGGTGAATAAAAATACAAAGCAAAGTTTTATATTGTAGAAACTGGGTAGATACCTTTAAAAAACAAAAATAATAGTAGACTACAATTGGCCGGAACTTCCTCCTAGGTCTTTAGAACCTGAGGGACCCTGCTGTGGGTCCAGATTGTGCTGGTGAAACCCAAAGTCAGTGTGGGCATGACTGAGGGTGGGTCGCTTTCCTCCCAGGATCCCGTGAGAGGCTGATGCTCCAGATGAGGGTGCAGTCATAGTGCAGGGAATTTTAACTTTCACCTTGAATCTTGGGCAGTCATATTTCTCTTAAGCCTAGCAGAATTTTCCTCTGGGTCTGGGTCTGGGTCTGTTCTTCTTTGTAATGATTTTTGGTAAACGTTATTCAGGAAATAAAGCACTTAGCTGTCATTTATTGAAAGGCGACTCCATTTCCCGGGCCTATGCTAGGTGCTCATTTTATCCCCTCTGCAAGGTGGGAATAGCTTCCCCATTTTACAGATGACAAACCTGAGGTGGCCCCAGAGAACTGAACAATTTGCCTAAGGTTCCTGCTTCCTTGGATTTGAATCCATTCTTACTGTTTCCACCACTCTGGTATTCTTAAGTAACTCCTTCATTCTTGAGTTATTTTGGCTTCGTGAGCGGTACTAACTACATTGGGCTTCTCTCCTAACCATTGGGGGCGTGGGTCCCTTTAAGAATCTGATGAAAGCCATGAAGACCCTTCTAGAAGAATGCACATATAATACACAGCATTTTGCATAGTTTCAGGGGTAAATGGACGTCTGACAGTCGGTGCACTCCCAGTTTAGAGTTACTCCCTCCCTGCCAAATGGAGCTTCCAGCAACATAGGAGTGTTCTAGATCAGTGAGATTAAAATGGAAGCCACCGCTGGAATCGGGGGGTGCTGACTTTTCACTTTCCACAGTAAACAGCCCTCCCCTGGGTGGCACGTGGTTTAACTAGCGCCGTGTGTTTGCCTCTCACCCCGACTTGAGCCCTTAACCCCAGGGGGAAAACCACCATTAAGGAAATGAACTCCAGGGTCCAGCGTGTGCTGGGGGCTGCTGTTTGGTGAGGCTACAGCAGGAAACGCCTGCTTTGGAAAGGTAGAAGGCAGGTGGCCAGACTCTCCACAACTTTTCAGAAACCCTGTGTCGGTGAGTCTGATGGAACATGATTTAGATTCAAATTCAGAAACAATGGATTAAGCCTCAGTTGTGTTTCAGCCCTGTGCTGGGTGCTTTCATGGGGATTACCCCGTTAAAGCCTCACCATGACAAGTGCATCTGTAAATACATATTCAGGCTTTCAAGGACTCAGTATTTGAATTCTGCAGGAGCAGGAACTCTAGAATTCTCTGTTCCCTGTTGGCTTAGAGAGTTGAGACTTCTTGTGCAGGCAAATGACTTGAATGCCAACATATCTGCATATGGGCTTTGCTTTGGCTTCTGTAGTATAGCTCAGTGTTTCCCAACTTCCATATTTGTAAAAATTATGCACCAGGGTGAACATTCAAAGCTATACGTATATCCCATTGTAAAGGATTTTTTTTCAAGATATCTGCTGGTTGACTGATGAAGGGGCTGATGCATGTTTATCGGGTGATGAGAGCCTGGGTCAGAGGAAAGCTGAATTTTAGGTGTCTGCATTTATATTCTGATCACCAAGCTCCATACTGCTTGAGACAACAGGTTGCCTAAAATAAAGGAAATAAGTCAATTGTCAAGAGAGACCGGGTGAAAGGATGGGGTGTGGTTATTGTGAACCATTACTGTTATTGGCAAAAGAGCCCTAAATAGTCCTTGTTGAAGCTGTATCTGTCTCTTTCCTGCTTTAAATTATCATCAAGTGCCCTTGTTCCTCTTTTATAAATGAGGGGAAACTCTAAGGAAGTCTGTTATTTTTAAAAAATGTTTTAAAAATATATAGTCCCAGGGGAGGATCTCACGTGCCGCGGGGAGGCTGGGCCCGTGAGCCGTGGCCGTGGCCGCTGAGCCTGCGCGTCCGGAGCCTGTGCTCCGCAATGGGAGAGGCCACAACGGTGAGAGGCCCGCACACCGCAACATAGGATATCCCCTGCTTATCACAACTAGAGAAAGCCTGTGCGCAGCAATGAAGACCCAACA